GCAATTTTTCCGACAAAATTGCAGCTTTAATTTTAGCTCTCCGATTTATCGTAATGTTCACAGTATTAGCCCTGTATTTCATCTGGAAAGAAAAATTTCTCGTTTGTACCTGTTCAGATATTTCATGAATGAAGCTCGGTCACCAGACATCCGCGTGTGATGAGGAAGCCATGCAAGGAACTGTCCTGCCCACGTGCTCTTGACTTTCCCGTACAAAGCATTTTGGACATCGAGGCCGACGCGGTAGACGCGAGATCCTTGACACTCGGCGCTGTGCAGTGACCTCCAAGCCCAGCTTCCTGGCATCTACCTCGGATACCCACTGCCGAACACTCGGAGAAATAAATGACATTTTGTCCAAATTGCGATGCAATTTTTGCGCTTGTGTGGGTCAAACTAACCTTGTTTGTCGCGGCTTAAGGTCCTCTATCAGAGTCAAGTTCGTACCCACTGCTCGTACAGTGGGTAAGTCACTAAATGGACAAAATGACCTTTTCGCCGTTTTGAGTCCCGACAGCACCCGAGATCTCGCGCCATCCTGCCCCACCAAGTTCGATCTCGCGCCATCCTGCCCCACCAAGTTCGATCTCGCGCCATCCTGCCACACCAAGTTCGATCTCGCGGGAATTCCGTCTTTCTCCATACGAAGTTACTCTGTGGCCTCCCAGCACGTCATACACGCGATCATTTCCTGTTTGAACCTTAGTAGCTTAATATTAGACGCTACATCGTGCGAAGCAACGAAGGAAACGAGTACCTTGGCCAAGAACACATGCAAGCTCTCGATAAAAACCGTCTTTAATTGACAATCAAAGCTTCTTTCGGAAAAGTCAGTCACAGACTACCTGATATTGGTCAAATGTTGAAAGTTACTTCAACTCGACGCACATTTTCAGCCATTTTCCAGAAACTTTAATTTAATTCGATGACCGGCCGAGTCCACATGATGATGCAGTGAACTTGTCTAATTCAAGAAATTGCACCAATAAATGGCAGTGCGAACAAAAGCTGTAATTTATATTTTTAGGCGTATGATGTCAATTTTAGGAGGCGTGAGTAGCATACCAAAATGTGGGGCAACTTCATGTTCAAGAGATTAATCTATAGAACTATATAAAATGATCATATTGCCCGAGTTTTCAGGTGTGAAAATGACTGCAGTTTGTGTTGCAGCATCAGTTAGCCTGATACTGTAATTTTACTTTTTATTTGATTTAAATGTGAATTCTGCGGTTTATTGAACCTGGTTCTGCACGGTAATTTAGTATAGTGATTTAATTCTCATTTTCCTCACTCTTGATATATAGGACAAAATTTTATGCTGCTGTTTTTTCTATGACTGGTTGGCACATCATAAATAAAAAATAAAATGACTGATTTAAATTTCAATTTATCAGTATGTAAGAATATTGTATTCTAACAACACTCGCAAGTAGCCACTGTAAGTTCGTGACCTACAGTGGGGGGAAATAAATATTCGTACACTTGAAAAATCGTATTTTAATGTATGTAAGTACACAAACTTAACAGAAAAAGTGATTTAAATTATGTATAGAGACGCATAGTATTCAAAAATACTATCAAAAGAAATTAAATCTCAATTATTTTAAATCACTTTTCCTGTTAAGTTTGTGTACTTACATACATTAAAATACGATTTTTCAAGTGTACGAATATTTATTTCCCCCCACTGTATATAGTCATGACCTTATTCTTAATTTTAACATCATAGTTGATGGGTCTGCGACAGCTCATGAGCCTACATAGCATTTGAATTTCAATAAGCCGGTTTTTCAATTTCCAATCAGCGAGATCTGGTTCCACTATTGGCCATTCATGTAATTGGAGTGAATAGTTTAGGCCTTAGGGAATAACTTTAACTTAACTACATATCTTCGAAAAGATATAATCCCTCGACTTTGAATGTTTTGTTTTGAGCGGTAAACTTATTTATTGTTTACCTGTTCGCTAGTTCGCCAAGTTAACTATTTGTTTTCAGCGGCTTTTATAGAAGTCTTTCAAAATCCGGTTAAAGCCAGAATCATAAGCTGCTGATTTCTTGATTTCTGATGATTGACGTCAGTCTCCGAGTTTAATCAAGAACTGAATCTTGGTTTTCTATACGGACTTGTCATCAATTTAGCTTGCAAGGATGTTGCAAGCCAACTGTGCGCAGCTTTCGATGTGATCCATCGTCTTTGCTCAATTTTGTACCTTAGAAGCCCACGTTGACGAGCAGCTATTCAAGGTTTATACTACGATTGCGTTTTCTCGCACGAGCTTATTTGGTCTAATTAAACTCGTTTCTAACGTTGACACATCTCAATTCTTAGGTATAAAATTACAAGGGTCGTGCTAGGCTTTCTGATAACTAGATTTTCCTTGGCTTACTTTTTAATTCACACGTTGCAGCATGTAATTCAAATTTCAAGTATATTTTTTTTTTGCTAGCATGCGTGTGCGATTCTACCTGCACTGCGATGGCACCATTGCATGTACTCGTGTTTTGGATACTCGCGCTTCAACCTACGCGGAAACAATTAATTGTCCGCTCCCTTTGAACCACTCGAGCCAATCCTCCATCGCACTGCGCGCAATTTGCATTGCTGCTTGTGATTAAAATTATTATTATAGCGATGAATTATGCATGTCGAGTTCTAGTCGAACTGGTTCTGTGAGGCAATGATTATTTTCGAAGATAACTGCAACAGAAAATGGCCAGGCAGCGTCCATTTTATCAAATACCTTCAGGAATCTTGATGGTATACTAATGGTTTTAGTAAGAATTGACCATTATGAATGGAATGGTTTTAGTAAGGCTGGACCATTCGTAGGGACCATTATGTTCTTCTTGTAAGATTTTGCGGGAGCTGTGCGTTAGCTGAAAGTTTATGTGAATTGATTGAACTATATAGTAACACGAAATTCACCTTGGACATTATTTCAACTTTCCGAAGGTAATCCTTCTCGTAGTAATATAATTATTCAGAAACGTTCAGGTTTGTCTTGTGTAGTTTCATTGATAAAAATTTCAAATTGTCGTTTTTCTGCTGATTTTTAAAACTATATTCTAACAGAATGGAAGAGGCGTGCGAGTTCAATACATCACGGCACATAAAGTGATGGGCTATTTAAACGTTATTGAGATTCTGCAGATCCGCTTAGAGTATTTCCGGTTCATCTGCAAGATATGGAAATATATATGCATACATTTTTTTAGATAGTAAAACGCACGTGTTACTGCGTGAGCACTACCCGTCGTCATCATCACATCAAAAATTCTTTATCAGACGTGTTTTTCACCTTGAAATTTCATCTTTGTTGGTCATTGCATGCAGGTACCATATGTTTTCCTCCCCGGTAAGTGCTATACTGTGGCTATGGAGCTTTAGAGGTTACGTTGTTTTTCACATGTCCCGTGTTGTCTGTTGTTCAATATGATGTCCGGGAGAACAAACCTCGGCTATTTTGATTGTCATTGTGACTCGCGCGTTCCACGATCAAATAAGAGTTCATTTGAAATTACACGAAAATTATTTAAAGAATTTACTGAACATGAGCGTGGCTTTGAACACAATGCAGAAAAAAGTTCATTGCTTGGTTTTGAGAAATTTAATGTCGTTTATAGAAAGATACTACACTTGGGTGAATGACAGATGTGACGCAGGAATTAGAACATAACTTCAACGTACAAGTTTCTGAGAGATGGAAGTTAAATTGAATCCTGCTGGATACTTACATTACCTCGGATTTTCTCATGGGTAGATATCATTTCAACACCAGGAGTATGTATCATTTACCAAAGATGGTGGTCAACGCGAGCCCAAAAATGGTGTACTAATATTATGCACTGGATTTTCCGTCTCGGCTTACAGAAAACACTCTGCATTTCGTGCTAATTTTCTGTGACGAGGAACTTGACTTAGCAGGTGACCGCGAAATCATTTGTATAAACATGCCTTTGGTGCTGGCTTACAAGAACCTATATTAGAATATGTTCTAATGTTCCCAGTATTCTTGAAAACCACGCTTTTTTATACTTTGGTCGGAAGCTAATGGAACAGCGTCCTACTCCGCTAATTGCCATTGGAAGCAGAGTGCATCCGCATCGAAAAAAAAAAAACATACTATTTCTAACCAAAATATCGGTTTTCCGGAGTGAAATTTCTTCGAAGGCACACAGAAATGGGCTAAGCGAATTTGGGGAATTGGCGAACATGTGTAGGGACCATTATTCAAGTTTTCCAACTTCAGTTTTTCTGATAAATTCTTTTCACTTGACAGCCAATTATCACAACGTATACAGATCATAATTTCTAGTTGTGGTTCAATCTGAAATTAGAATTGCGTTACTTTATTGACCAGTTGACTAGATTTACGAAGTTCTAAAAAGTATCGTACGAAAAAAACTTATCTGAATCATTTCTAAATCTGAACGACCCCGTACACTTTTGTCTGTATAATCCAGCAGCTTTTAAAATACTTTTTCACTTGTATCAATTTCCTAGATTTAGTAGTAGTTCTTAGGCCAATTTTGTTGTCCAAGAGCCCTAAAAAGAAGTGGAACTGGTTTTGTCCAGCTTATCCAGCAAAGGTGCTTAGGCCTAAATTTATATTGAGGCCTCTCTTTCTAGGAGATGTCCCTATAACCGCTGGAGCACTTAACGCGTTTTGAGGTAGACAAATAAATTTGAAGTTTAGCTAGTCCTAGTCAGAAGTGAGTCACCCGCCAAGTTCAGTTGCTATTCTGTGGCGGTGGTGTGAGGTAGATGCTTTCGTTGCTCCCAAGTTCCATTCACCTGCGCACGAACAACCTCGCTTTAGCTGCCTTTTTTGTGCGAAGAAAGGTGATTGCCTACCTGCTAAGTCCACTCATCGAGCTGACAGTGTGCAATATGAAAGTGTTTGTGAACTCAAATTTTATAATCTATGTAAATTTGTAGGAATATTTAATCGATTTAATTCACCAGTCACCTATACCATCGCATATCTTGTGACATGAAGTTTCAAAGTCAATTCAAAGCTTTATTCGTAGTTACGCAATTTTTAGACAAAATATTGCACGGTAACAATGTACGTGTGTGAATAATTTATAAAATAACAATATTCATGATTTCAGGATAGCGAAGATACCTATTATTTTCTTGAGGCCTATGGTATATTGTCAGCGTACAATTTTATTTCATTTTCCTGGTAGCCTATAAACAATAGGTATAACGGGTTACTTCGTGCCTCTTATATCTGTGATCTGTAGTGCACGGGTTTGAAGCTTGGACTAATTTTTTTCATTTTTTGCCAAGGCCAAATTTTTAGAGATTTTATATTCACTGCCTAAATTGAAATAATAAAATTCTTAGAACAGTGTAATCCTAGCCTCTAGGTGCTTGAAATCTGCAAGCGACAGCTAACGAAAGCCAAGTGGGACACGGCAAAAGAATTAGGTGAGTGAGTTTATTTCATATGCTCCATTTCCCACACGTAGAATTACATTGGTTGGGCTAGAATATAATGAACCTAGATATTATCTATAATATCTCTTACGTTTATGGCGAATTGTTTGAATTTTAGTCTTAGGTCGCTGTACGATTTTGGAGGTTTATGCTATTTTGTAATAGACGTTGCAGCCTTGCTAATGTTATTAGCTAACTAGTGGTGATTGCTCGTTGACTTGCATATGTAAATTGTGGCTTTACTGCGCTTACTAGTGAAACTGATCCGCGGCCTACACTTCTAATTGGGGTCATTCATTCTCTACCGTCATCTGCCTTGTCATTTCAAGACTTACATATTCTAAATAATTTCTAAAATTGAAATGAAATTAGTTATTAGTAACGAGTGAAGCCTAGACGCTTCACAAGTTCTATCCTCGTCTACACACCAGGCGGTCGTCGCACGTCCATATGTCCGTGACGTGACGAGCGAGCTCGGTGAGCCGTTACGTACGAGGAGCACGTGACCTTCCTTCCCCCTGTCGAGGTCCGAGACCCCGCGATAATTCCTAACTCCTCATTTTATTGCAATTTATTTATCAATTTAGTTATCATCTATTGCGAACATTTGAACATAAATTCATTGCGTTTGTCTGTTGACTCGTCTGGAGTTCCTTGAATGATACCGACAATTTGCTGCCTAATAATTATGAGGTATTTAAACTCAGAGTTTGTATGATGGTTGTATGCCATTCCATCAATAAATTTCAATATTGTATTGGAAGTGCAATAGAATGGAAGTGTAATGAATAGATCTATTAAAATGAACAACCATGTTTGCTGAGGTTACAGTAATGCAAGGTCGTTTTCAAGTCGCAGTTTTGCAAGGTCGTTTTCATGTCGCAGTTTGAAACCGTTAAAACCTTTTTTTTCTTTTGCAAAACCTTTTTCAAAATGGATTTTTGCAAACGCCGTTCGTAGTAAAGTGAGAGGAGCGAGCGTAGCATCTAGGGTCGTGTATGAATCTTGAGTCAACGGCATGTAACTCAAGCACGCATGACTACAACATTTAGTTGAGCATTTCTAATTTAATAGCCAAGCTTCATTAAATCGAAAGGGGGTCATCACTCATTGCCTGTGGAGCAGCCGTCAGCGTATCAAGGGCGGCCAGCTATCGAGGCCTTGAATGCTTCTGATAATTAACGCGATGTTTTTTAGAGATTCTGGAAGTTGCTTTTTGCAAGGCATCAACATTTCCCTCGGTGGCGGGCACCCACTCTCCCTTTCATTGAACTGGTGCGTGGCATGGCTGGGCGCTGCGGGCATCTCCTCATCGCTGATGTTATAGGCCAAGTCCTGTCCGCATGCTCGCTCGGTCGTAGAGTTCAAGACTTGTTCTCGAAGCCGGAGAAGCAGATTGGTCGTACGCGTTTCGAGCTCTAAACTCCTGGTGTGATGACTGCAACCAGTCCTCTATGATGAAAATTTGCGAGGCGGATATATATAGGATATACGGAGGTAGGTATTTATAGAAGTAACTTGCTAAGTAGCAAATGGACTCGCATAGAAGAGTGGATTCGCGCATCGGAAATAAATCCGAAAATAATACAGAAGTTGAGCGGATTATCGCTGCAGTCAAATCTTTTTGTCTTCAGTAACTTGGCGGTGAGTTATTTGTTGTATGAATGTTGTTCTTATTTTTCTCGAGAGGGTCATCTTGAATGACAATTTAAACGAAAGGATAGTTTGAACTGGTCGATGATTATCTTTGAAACGAAACGAATGACAGATTGATTTTAGACTGGACGCTTGATTTTAGCAGAATTGAAATCAAGGAATTTGGATAACGAACCGGTTTTAAAACAAATTTTTTTCGACCAGGTGAAATTATAGGTAGTCGCCTTTAAACAAAATCATTTTATATTCGCGTAATTAGAGTTCTACATCCAGAATTTAAACGTTGATGACATTCAGCAATATGACTTCTTTCACAACTGATCATAACTCGACGTCCCAAGTCCGTAAAACCCCGGAAATCTCGTATAAACTTTAGTCAGCGTCAGCCGCGTTCTTAACCTGGTTCAGCTGCTAGCGCTCCTGCTATTTTGTCGAGGTTTTTGCCCTGTGCCAGAACCTGATCTGGTGCAACTGACCCCTGTTCTAGGTGAAGCCATTTGCCGGAAGTCATGGGCTCGCTGTGCTGAAAAAAAGTGCGCTGGATCATGATATCTGTTAGCTAAATTCTCTGCTCGGATTTTGGGCTAATAATTCCTTATGGATCAATTCTAGCTCCACTTATTTCATGCTTTTGCTCATATAAGCTAATGCTGGCGAATGCCTAAGTCGTAACATGAAAGTGGACAATTTTTTATTAATGTCGGTAGTCAACTGGGTGTTCATTTCCCATTTGAATTGAAATTACGTACATTATTCGCGTGGGATAACCATCCTCTTTTTCCAGAAAGCCCGATGCATACAATATTCTTTCTTGTTTCTGGAAGCTGTCAGAAATTACTAGAAACTTGTACATTGCTTTGAAATCTTGTCTTTGTCGCGAGTCAAACGGATATGTGGCGTGTTGTTGAATTTTTTGCTGAAGTTTAGGAAATCTTGCTCATTATTTACTAACGTCTGCTGCGTACAAGGCTGGTCGTCTCATTCCTAGAACTTGATATTCTTCTCGCCGAACGTCTTCAGCAAGAGGATGTAACTATATACATTGCTTTTTGGATTGCCATTGTAAATTTCATCTTTAACAATATTACACGGCTTTTGGCTGATATGTGCGTTATTCGAGTTCAAGCTTGGCTATCATGCATTATTAACAGATACAATTTTTTCTTGAATGGAAATATTTTTCCCTTGTAGGATCATGAAATTGATGGAATGCATCCAAGCAGTAATAAGGTAACTTTAATTTGCTTTCATTCTTCGTGATTTACATTCGCATTGCTAATGTTTATTTGAACTCTAATTTCTCGCCTTCTATGGGACTGATGGCCTTACCGAAGTTAAATAAGCTCGACGCGTCCAAGTCACGAGCAAAAAATAAATATATTGACAAGAGTTATACACCTAGGCCCCGGAATAGCAAGACGAACCCGGCCAGTTCCGCAAAAAGTCAAACGAAAGGGAAAGGTCCAGTGTAGTTTTTGCGAACGCGATTGGCGCACAAGAAGTTAGGAGGAAAAAAGTCCCCTTGCATCGCCTGCCTGAGTCGCGTGGCAATCTTGGTACATAGTACACTAAAACTTGCACAAGAGGCCTACTAAAAACTTTACATGCACTTGACGTTCCTCTCCGCAGGCTTTCATGAAAGTGAAGAGAAGGCACCCCTACTCGATAATGTCTTAACTTGAGGGAAGTAATAACAGCGTAGAAAATTTGAAGGATTTGCCGAAATATTCCACCCTTACATTTCATTGCGTTAGCAAATATTATTCCTCGAAGTAACAATTCTGCCGAAACGAAACGGCCGAAGCACTTTTAGGATTAAGATAACATTCAAGGGATAATATGGTTTAGGGTTAATGTCAGTTTTGCTTCCCATTGTTAGCACCACCGAAAACGTCGCATGTCGTCTGCTAAGCCTACTAGTCGATGAAAGCGTCGAGCGGCTGTTAGGAGAACCAGATTTGCGTCACGTTGAAGGTCTTGACACATACTTACAGGAGAGAGAAGCTTTGTTGTCCTTGAGTGTGTAAGGAGGGATATATGTGCTCTGGAGGTCGGGTGAATCATGCGTCAAAGAAGAAATTTCCTGGCCGTTTGATATCCACGGGAGAAAATAACCTCGTATCAGATTATTTGAGATTTTTTCTTATTCATAACGAGTAATTATTGTCAACTTGTGGTATTTATTATGAATCTAAATATTGTGCATTAGAATTTTCACTGAACGAATGTTATATATAATCAATGGCGAGTTGAAGATCTAATTTCAAGCAAGGAATCGAGATAAAAGAGATTGGTGTAATACAGACCGGTAGTACAGAGTGAAATAAAAAAAAAAGCTCATCAGTTGGTATTTTGTTGGTGCTTTGGTCGTTGATGATGCTAATAAATGGAATGCATGACCGATAATATTGATGTGGACACTGAATTAAATGTGGCTTGTGAGCATTAGGAGTCTTTTCGAAGCACTAGAACTGCTGTGCCTCAATGCATGATTACCTTTCTATTATTATTGAATCTATATACCTCGTCAGATACCTCATTGTTTTTGGCTGGCTCATGCCGATAACATGCTAAGGGATTATTTATATCCTCGTTTAATTCGGGGTATCATTTTCGCTTGCACGGTAATGCACAAAGTTTGAAATACTTCGGCTATGTACTTGGATGATTTAACGACTGTTTGATTCTTGATCTGACTGCTTTGCCCCCTCATTCCTTCGTATGTACTTATGAACTATGCCTACAAAATTAGGTTAGGTTGTATATGAATACGCTTGACCAAAGACATAGATTCGTCCTGTTCACAGATTTGTCCTCGTGTACAGCAGGTTCTGTAATTTGACCCCGTTATGGAATGTTGTCAGCCTTCAAATGAGGCTTCCTACGACACTCCTATTGACGATACCTGTAATTAGGTCTTCAGATGCCGACCTCTTTCAACGCCTTGCTCCTCGCGTCGAGATAGATATTGTCCCTAAAGGACTACTCCGTTGTTCCTGTTGTACAGAACAATAAATTAATCTCATTTATTCTTTGGGGCCGTAAGCTCTGAAGGGGCACTTACGTCATTTGTTAGCTTAAAAAGTAAGTCAATCCAGGATTTGGAAGTGAAGAAGACTCCAAGTTAACTCGCCATATCATTATTGAAACCTTATCTTCATATCTTCAACGTGCATATGGTGTATATACCCGGAGTTTTCTGTGCTTTGAAATTCTTGGTTGAATAGAGGCGTATTGAAAGGCTTTCTTTAATTCATTTAGACTTGAGTTTTAAAATCGGTTAATGACATGTGCCTACTTATAATGGAAATATATTTCCATTTCGTCTTGGCGCT